ACTACTCTTCAGTGGCTCCGCTTCGGGTTCCGGACGCGAATGAGCCTCATTGAGATCTAACGGGGCTTGGATTCTACCGCGACAGTTTGTGTGTTGATCATTTCCATGTAGAAGGTCCAAGATATTCAATAAAATATCCGTTCGATTTTGGTCACAGGCTGATCACTGAACCCTGTCCTCATTTTTTCCTAGGTCTTTGTTTTTATAAAGGAGCATTCCACGATAAGGTTGAAGGTTGAAGAAGGGAAAGCCAGTGGAAAGACGGGCGGGCTCCCTAAGGATGCGCGGACCAACAGCAGCTAAGAATATTTTCCCTGCGATGTAGCATGGTTCTTTTGCGGCGCTATCGGCGCGGTATGCCCACCGAATGGCTAATCACTCGCTGCAGGTCTCTAACCGTTTTGCAGAGAGAACGTTGAGGAGGTGCGGAATCAACGGGCTAGGAAGGAGTCCCATTTCTCGAGCTCCGGGCCGTTTTTCACGGTTTTTTCTTCATCGGTCCCACGGACCACCTCTCACTTGATTCCAATGGGCTCTAATCGTGAAATTCGCCTTCAGGTGCTACGCAGTACAATTGTAATCACTTGCGACCTTTTTTCAGTGTCTCATTCGGCCTTTTCTCCTTTCCTATTTTTCTTTTGGCCGTTTCTTTTTGTTATTGATGCATAGGGCTTTTCGTCTTGCCGAATTCTTCGCCTGCTGTGGTACAGTACTTTGTATCAATTGCTAAAGGCAGACAAGGTGCATTTGAGTGTCGGCGCTCACCACGCACACGATTCGAATTCGGAACCAAACCCTTGAAACTTACCTTACCCAAACTTACCTTGAAGGATAAAACATCGGCTTGCACATGCGGTGGCCCCTGTCAGCCAATGCACCGATCAAATTGCATTCAAATACTAGGAGTTTGAGTGGAAGATTAATGCATGGGTTATCTCAGGAAAAGTTATATGTGGTGATCAGCGTCAGAAACTTCCTGTAGTAACGCAGAAGAATAAGTGTCTTCAAATTCTGGTGAAGAAGTGGGGCGATTGCGAGCGAGCCCTTTTCTTGATGTATGTAGAGTTGCGGTCAAAAGTGTTCGCCGAAACGTCTTTTCGTGTATTATTTTTTCTCATTCAATCAGGGCCCTTCAAAAATCAGCAAAGCATGCCTTTTAAATCCTTCAAAACTTGATTCTCGAAGGGCTCAGATGTTTGAAAGAAAGCTTCAACTAATCTTCAGATCTTTCTCTCAAGTGAAGAAATGAAAGGGACTAAAAAGCGTCTCGGGTAACACTTCTGACCGCTACCGCTGTCTATCTTCAATATTTCGGAAGGTCCGATGTAGACTCCGTCAAAGCACTTATTGAAATTCAGCAGTATGAAAAATGGATGTTCACTTTCCCAAAAAACGTCGCACTATTGTCGTTTCTGTGTAATTGTGAACGTTCAACCTTCTAATGTTAGTGACTTTTTTCAGAATTGGGTTCTCTCAGATCCTTAGAACTAATCAGAATCTACGGGACAATTGCTTTCGGAAAAGTATCGAAAACCTTAATCAAAGGATTGTGTGTTAGAAATATTTCGTCTCATTTACCTCCTTTCTTGATTTCTCGGGTTATACTTTCGATGAACCCGCGAAGTTCTCAGCTTTTATGCGTTATAAGTTTTTTTTTTTCAAACAGTTTCATGGGAATCGGTAAAATCGTCGAAAGCTTCATGATCACTGCTTTACGAATTGTGAACTCTCCTGAAAATTTTTCAAAATGAGGACTTTAAATTTAAAATTTAATTTAAAAGTCTGCACTCCGTTGTCATGCCTAGTGACTTTCAAATCTGTCGCTCGTCCCTGCGCTTGCGCTTTCCGTTGGCCAAATACGCTCCCCTTCCGTTAAATTGCTTTGATGGATGATTGACCCTGTCTTGGAGGTCGTCTTCGTACCCATTTTGAGAATTAGAGGAACGGTCGATTGGTACCCAATCGTTCATTTTCTCGATGATTATCCCCAAATTCTTCCCGAGTTCTGTCGAATAGGAGGAGGGAAATACCAAATTTTAACAGATTTCCCTAAAAATTCCAGTCCATGAACTCCTGTTTTTATTATACTTTTCCAAGAACGTACATAGTGCCGGGGTCACCTAATACGTCCACTCTTTCCTTCAAAAGGTTCAGATACGACCCTTATCCATTTTAGGAATGGCCGTGCGAATGGGTTGCCTCGCTTGTTTAGAATTTACTAATTTATATCGTATGCTATTAGAACTTTCAATTCAGTCGTTGAAGTCCTCAAAAGTTTTGTATGCACTCGAATCTTGAATGTCGGTAGAAGCCAGATGCGTGGCGTATCCTCAGGTGACTCAATGAAGTTTCTTCGCTGTGAATAATAGTCTGTGGATTTGCTCTCTGAGTTTTTTCTGTTTAATCAAAATCCGTTTTTTTCCCTTTCCTGTTCAAACCCGAACTTCTCCTTTTCCACTCTGGCGATGACGTCGACTGATTGCATTTTGACACTTCTGTGCTGCTCAAAGAGACTATTGGCCTATGCAGGTTCAAACATTTCAGTACTTAGTTGCTCATTTCCTATTTCGAGCAATCACGCGGAGGATGTTGTTTAATATTTTTTCAATTTATCGGACCTGGGGTTGTTGAACGTTGGAAAGAACTTTTTACATCTCAGAAAAGTTTATCTATCTGAAAGCTGTCAGTATTTCTATCATTATTGATTAAGTGGAATAAATCCTTCGTTATTGTCCAAGAAGGCGGAATAGCCTCAGCAGTGTTGAGTGAACTGTGTAGTAGCCCTCTGAGATTGGTGCAAGCTTTCGATGATTAATCTAGGTTGATCCTAAGAGTCCGAATCTCATCGTGGGATCCCTAAGGCTGTATAATACGATCATGAAGGCGCGAGGAGACACATAAGAGCATCACCGCGAAAGCTAAAGATGCCTTCTAACTTTCCGTTTCTCGAATGTCAGCTGTTTTTTGCGACAACTATCATGACTTCTTTCTCTTAGTCTTCCTTCCAGTAATCTGAAATGGCTCTTGGAAGACTCGTTTCGAAAATACTTTTCAAAGCAAGCTCCGCTTTTGCCGACGTAAAGGTTCGTACCAATTTTGGCAGGCTATTGCACGGGTTTATTGACGCTTACTGTCGAATGGCTGAGATTAGTCTCACGGGGTTCAGTCAACGTTCTCATACCTTCCGCAGCGAAATCATTGTTGACTTGATTCACTGCCAATTTTGAGTAGAATTGATTAATGGCTATGTTTGCCCTCCTGGATCATCTGACCATTGGCCAGTTCGAGAAGGAAGTTTTAAAGGCTCCCTTATCGTGAGTAGTTGTGGAGACGCATGGTGGTAGTATTTCCCTGCTCATCAAAAAAGTTGCTCCACGTGAATTGGCTCGCTTTGTTGTTTAGGGTCTCGTAGGAATGCACACAAAACAACCGTTCTGCACTGAACTCTCAGAAATAGTACCCTCAAAACGTTGAATCCCGTGCTGTAGACGTCAGATCAATAGAGGCGCCGCTCAGAGGAGCTCAGCCGATGCTGCACATCGCCGTTTGGGTCGAAAAGCAGGCTTGATCGATTGTCATAGCGAGGCTTAACAATTATCCCGGAAATATCAAAGCGGGAAGGAACTGAGATCGATTAGGGAATGAGCAGGAAAATGCGCTGCTTGGACCGAGCGAAATTCTGATTTCAGTCTGATCTCTCAAGGAAGAGTGGATGCAGTGAAAATTTCCCTATTTCAGGAAACCCGACGCGTCGCGCTGCCGTTGATAAAAGCGTTTCAAAAAGAAGTCGATCAGCTGACTGTGAGAGGAAAAGCAACTGAAGCGGCGCTGATCGAAATCTGCTCTCAGCTCACAAACCTTCCTGGTAAGGTTTTTCTCTATGACCAAGTTGTCCGCTAGTCCTTCTGAACCTTGTTTTTCTTTCACGAAAGTGCTGAGTAGCGTTGAATGACGTCATTTCCCAGTGTTCTGTTGATATTTGGAAATGGGCCATGTAACTCCCCAATCCACAAAAACTTGAATGAAGTGGGAATGCTCTGAATTGCTGCGCTGATCAGTACTAGTCCAACAACGGCATCAACGTTTCCTTCGGCGCCCACATTAGCCCTCTTTAGGCAAATCGAACGATTGCTATCGATTGTCAAATTTGTTTGTGAGATACAGTAAGAGGTGAAGTTTAGCGATTTACCGTGATTTAGCGAGTTCTTTGGTCT